AATGGAGAGGTAATAATCCTATCATTCAGTTTCAGTTTCTAACTCAGATTTACTCTCTGAATTTAAAAAATGACAAACACATTTCTGTTTCTTTCCCTCTTCTTGTTCTCAGGTGCAGGCAGAGCTAAAGAAGGCGTGGTTAAGACGTAGCCTTGTGCTCGACCTCAAACAAAAAGCCAGGATGACCAGCAGCGGGGGCGGAGGCAGCTGTTACTACGGCGGCATGATGTCACACACCACCACCCACAGCGTCAGCTTGTCTAGTGCCAATTCCAGAGCTCTTTCCCTCACTGGAGGTGTGGTGGGTTCTGGTGGTGCTGCCGGTGGAGGGTCAGGGGTCAGGCTGCCGCGCCACGGTTCTCTTCACTCGCAAACCAACCTGCCTGGATACGTGCCCGGTGACACTGAGACCTCCGGAGTTTTTGTCAGGCACACCAGAGCCAGCAAAGTAAATCATGAGACCAGAAGTCATGGAGCATCTCCAGCCCAAACCCCTGGAGAAGAAGACAGTCGCTTATCGCTGAAAGAGCTGGAGACTATCTTGTGATTGTTTCCGTGAATTGACAGATGAGCCTATATGAGGTACTGGACTCAAGGCAGATGACAGTGAAGGATTTTTCCGACTACCCCCTAAATAGAGTGGTCTAGACTGAGGACCTTCAAAAGTAGACATTTCAAGGATTTACTGAGATTATTTTGTCAACTTTTTCCAGGGTCAAGACAAAACTTTAAGTCTCAACCGATGGATTTCTTGTGGATCTATTTAATTTTTAGCTGTGCACGTAAATTGTACATTAATTGTTATATGCTTTCATTAGATGTGAAAGATAGAGTTAAGTTAGATGATCTGTGAAGATGTGATGCTACAGAGAATTTAGAGGAGTCAACGGACCGACCTGAATGTTTAAACAGTGAGATGTTTTCTGTGATTCATCTCCCTCTTCACATCTTTCCTGTGTTTGATTTTCCAGGCCAGTCTGGCTGACCCTAGTTCAAACTGCACTTACGCATGTGTCTGTGTGTGTCTGAGTGGCTGCTGTCTATGAATATGCTGCAACAATCCTCCCTTTTCCAAATACTGACCTCCATACACATCAGCCACACCTTTATGATGTAGGATGCAGAAGCTGATAGTTTATCAAGCTAACTGTCCATATATGATTATTTTTAACAGTCAGTATTGTCCAGACAGCGTGTCTAGACAGGTCACGTCTCTCTGCAGCTTTGTCGTCCATGTTGTCTACACAGCCTTATTTATCAGTCTGACAGGACCCTGAGGGCTGATGCACAAACCTTTTGCCCCTCGCAGGCCAAACCCCAACCCCTGCCTCCATGTAACCTCTGCCCCGATCGCCCTCACAACACCACCCAGAATTTCACACACTCCCCTCAGGCCTCAGCTCGGAGCCGGAGGCACCTGAGCTGTTTGTAGACCTCGAGCATAAGTGACAAACCTGCAGCACAAGCCACCAGTATTCACAAGGTAAACAGACAGGAAGTTGTACCTGTAATTATTTTAGGACTGATAAGGTGTCCAGAGATGGAGACAACTGTTCTGTGTTTATAGGACTTGTACAGTGTAAGATAACTCTGATAATTTAATAAGTGTTTGGGAGTTTAAATAAAGGGAATTAAATTAAATTGAATTAAACTTTAAGGTTTTGTTAATTTAGGGCAAAACTAAAGTCGATGCACTCATACTGGTACGACTGGAATAAAAAAAGATCCCTCATTCTATCAAAAATGCAAAAGCTATTTCCAAACACAAACGCACACTAACTTCTCAAGCAGTTATCTTCTTTTGTTATTTTTTTTATTCCTTTATTTGATGTTTGTTTAACCAGGTAAGTCCCACTGACACTGGAAACCTCTTTCGCAGAGAAGACCTGGGTATGACAGTGGAATAAAAGTTGCAAAGAGAGAATGGAGTCATTTATTATAGAGTTTACAATGGTCTCAACTTCTGCCAGAGATATCAGATTCATCAGTTTAATTTCCTTTTGCAGATTATTCCAAGTGGGTCGAGCAGAGGACATGACGGCTCTCTGTCCCTACAGTTTGAGCAGACAGACACTGAGTACAATACCAACACTGATGGAAGCCAACAGCAAGGAGCATAAAGTTCATGGTCCAACGTGACAGGTACCATCAAAATCTGAAATATTTTTAGATCATAACTTGAGGTTAGCAGAGTTGGGAAGGAGACGAAGAGATTGTTTTCCCCTGCCTATACAATGTACTGTACCACTGGAAAAAAACACCATGATGTAGACATTATTATTGCACAATTCAAGTGAAGTTGAGAAAGTATTTTCTCTTTGCCTCCTCTGCTGCAGTTCTCAAATTCTCTTGTGAGTCCCAAAACTTATGAAAGAGCAATAGTAAATCAGTGGACTGCTCCTGCGAGTGCTTAAAGAAGATACTAGATAAAGCCCTGCCCCCTGTTGCAAAAATGAAAACATTGCAAGTTAAATTTCCTCACTGGTTTTTGCAACATCAAATGAAACGGAACACAAGATCAAGGAATAGTCTACATGTCTGTGACTTAACTTTCAAACCATAAAGACTAAAAAAAAAAAACATGGAGAGAGAAGTGAGTAGAATGGAAAGAATGCATCCCTCTTTTAGACCCATAACACAATGTAGCCAGTGTAAATTAAAATAATGTACAATAATTGTAGAACACAGTTTGACTGTTACATTAGTTAGTTATCATGAATAAACAAGGTAAATGCCCACATGGACTTATAAGAAACCAATTGTTGCAGTAGTTAAAATTTTCTCAAACTTGAACATAACTTCTATATAACAGCACATTACTACCACTTGTTTGAATGACTGTTATCAGTGGTTAACCTCACAGATGTGGGTTAGATAAAGCCATGCTACACCTACTAGTAGGTGTAGCATGGCTGTGTTTATTGTTAGGCAGTGACATCTAGTAGTAATTATGACGGGAGCAAAGAAGGAAGTCAAGGGATGTAAAATGTTTATTAGAAAGAGCAAAAAAGTCCACCTGCTGCAGAGGATGGGGTGGTTGATGGGTCAATGCACATGACATTCACCTAGGAGAGTGGGGTTTGTGTCCTGTGTGAAACCAAAAGTTGTTAGCTGTTGTCTCAATTCAGGGGCTGCAGCCTTTGAAGGACGCAGCCTTTGCTGTCTACGTTGGCAGCGACCTTTGAAGATTGCATCAGCGAAACCGAACGGTCTCCGAAATGGGGCGGTCTGGTCTGCGGATGATTTCCTGGTTGCATCACGTTGTTCCCACCCCGACCTGCTCCTGTCACCTAGCAACCAGTTGCGCTTGACATTAGTTAGACGTTAGTTAGCCATAAATCATGGATCCAGAGCTTGTAATCCTTTTTTTTTTAAATCCTTGAGGAAATGATTCATCGTCTGAGACTCCGCCATCTGATATCTGATGGAGGACTGTTTTCAGGTAAACTTATCATATTAAGATTGTTCAAGCTATGCTGTGTTTTGTAACATTTTGAGTGAGTTAAAACCCAGTACATACATTTAAAAGTGTAATCTTCTGTCGCCACTGCTGCCGGTTGTGTGTCAGACACCATGATGAAGCATGCAATGCATCTTGGGATAGGCTGGGCCACGAAGGATTCATCCGTTGGATCCTCCAAATTCTGGAGAAGAAGGCTGCATTTCTTGGCCGCATTTGAAGGAGCCTTTTAAATGGGACAGCCTTGGTCACGCCAATATGTTGCAATCGGTTTTCAAATGAAAGTTTAGCCCATGAATGATCATATTAAAAGCAATAAAACCGAAATCACATTTTAAATATGAATATTTTCATGAGACATTGTTGTCTTCACATCTTGTTTACTTGTTTACTTACTGAATCTCATTTTATATTACAGACTATAGTTGAAGATATTAGAGCTCAGATTGTCAGCATGAAGCATCCACACATATGGAGCACCACACACAGATATGCATGACTGATCGCTCCCCCCACCAGGACAAATAAACCCTACAACCCCCACCCAGCAACGTATGGCGGCAACCAGCTGTCAGTTCATTAGAGAGGAAAGGTTGGGGTTCAAAGCGTCACACTTTACACTTGAATCAGTTCAGCCAGCTCCAGATATGTGACATCCACCTCTGCTGGCAGGAGGAGGAAAAAGAAGAGGAGGGAGGAGAGCGAAGGGGATGCTGATCGGAAATTACAGCAGGAGGAAATGACCCAGCATGATGACTGTGGTGGTGCCGCTGGAGGTGATGATATCACTCTCATTGTACTGTAAACGGCTGTTATCGAGGAAGATATTAAACTTTGAGTCACAATGTGTGATCACAATGCTTACAAGTACAAGACGGTCTTTGATGCACGGATACACATGATGCTTGTATAATATAGGCGCATTGTCCATGAAAGATAAAGCCTATATTGAAATAGATTAAAAAAACATAATGAAAAGTTTAAAATAGTGCAATATATGGAAAGTCTCTGCACTTCTTAGACTTTTTATATGAACTCATTGTCATGTTCAAGACACCAGTTGGAGATAGTTTGAGCTTTGTCACATGGTGCGTTATCCTGCTGGTGTTTAAACGATGCTCAGTTGGTACTCAGGGGCCCAAAGTGTGCCAAGAAAAAAATCAAAGTTATTATCATAGTCACTTAAATCAATTTCTTCCCCATTCTGATGCTTGGTTTGAACTTCAGCAGGTCCTCTTGACCATGTCTACAAGCCTAAATGCATTGAGTTGCTCCCACGTCACTGGCTGATTGTCTATTTGCTTGAATGAGCAGTTGAACAGGTGTACCTAATAAAGTGGCTGGTGGGTGTATATTTAATTGCATAAAACTGGAGTCCTTACATGCACTATTAGAAATGTTAAAGCCGTGTTGTAACGCAGGAAGCTGCTGGGAAAGTGCACTCAGTCAAACCACTGACAGAGGGGATTCGTCATGTGCAGGGTGCATGATGAGAGCTGATCCAGTGACGTCATGATTGGGTCAGAAAAGTAGGCGGAGAGAGAGAGAGAGAGGCAGAAAGAGAGATAGATAGAGGGAGCAGCTGTAATCCAGTCCTCTGTGTATCAGAGTAATAATAAAAACAACACACTGCATGTTCTCATGTCTTCATCTGCGTGTCCTCCGCTGTGACACCGAGTAGCGCCGCCGGGCTGTCAGCGGCTCTGATGCGGGCAGGCAGCATCTTCTGTGTCGTCCGGAGTGAATGAGGAGGGACGGTGGCCGACAGGGAGGGGTCCTTTGATTTCAGGGCTGCCTCCTCTCTGGATGGAGCCTGGCTGTCTGCATGCAGCGATGGCCATGGGAGATGTGTCGAAAAAGGCGTCGTTTCGGAACGTGGCGGTGGAGCGAAAAAACCTCATCACCGTCTGCAGGTCAGTGTATTGCCAAAGAGTGTGTGTGTGTATATGTGTGTGTGTTTAAGTGCTTATACTCTGATATGAGTGGGGGTTTATTCAGCTGAATGGTGCATCTATTATAAGTGGTTATAATTGTCTGTTTTATACCAACAAATGGATTCTAGTGTATTTTTAATCACCACAGATATATTATGCACACAAGGCATATTTTGACATGCATGCTTACGTCATCCTCATAATAAGTCCTTATAATGAACCCTGTCCCGACAGTGGGCCTGAAGCCTGCCTCTGCTTTAACCTTCTATAACACATATTATTTTTTTAATATACAAAATATGCCAACCCACAGACAGGCCGGCCTCTCTGTGTGACTTTAGCAGAGTCATCTTTGTCAGTGCGATTTATTATCTCCCCGCTGATGGCGTGGTTGCTATGACGACAACCTTCCTGGGGCAAGGACTAGCTGGCACCCCAGGGAGTCAGGGCAGGGAGGCAGTTAAAGGTCTGTACATTAAGTCCTGATTGGACCGTGTGGGGTTTTTTTTTGCATAGAGAATTGCTTTGAAATGGCCTTTGCCAGAGATTAAACACATACAGACATAAACATGCTGCACATGCGCACATGCTGTAACCACACTGTGCAAAGAGCATACATAAACAGACTGTAATTAATGTGTTGACATGCATTTATTCTCTAATTTACAGAGGAGATCTTGAGATAGATTCAGTTTCTGTCTTATGCAGAGATGCTGGACAGTTACAGTTATTAGCAGTAAATTTAAAGCTGCTATAATCAATATTATTATAATAATAATGCATCAGACAGCTATGTTTTGTTTGAAATGGGCCATTCATAGTGATGAACTGGAGCCAATAACTTCCCGTGACTAATGCAGAGTCATTTGTCCTGGGAGTGAATGCCCATTGTAACCTCTCCCATTAAATACGAAGACCAGATGTTTATTTATTACTGTAAAACTTCAATTGAAAGCCTAGTCCCTTTTACACAGCTACACATTTTGACAAATAAAGGCCTGTCTCAATTAGAGGCCTGGCCTGGTTGCCAGGCAGGAATGTATAGGGATGTATAAAAGCGGGTTGTTGGCTACCTCAAATAATCTTCGATTCCATACGTACCCTGGGTATAGACAATAAAAGTTAGTGGGCTTTTCGTCCAGTGGGAAAGAAGCCATAGTGTCATGGTAGCAGGAAGCTGTTTTCAGCAGACAGAGTTGTCGACAAGCTAGTGAACATAGTGTAGCATTAGCAGCTGAAGAGCCAGATATTTCCCTCAGGTGTTGGTGAAAGCCAAAATAAATAAATGTTAAGGTATGTCACACTATTGGGGGCGCCATCTTGTGAGGTACACGCCCTGCTTCCTCCTAGATAGTTTACAATGTCCTACAATCCTGCTTTGGGCTCCTGAATCATATGGAGCTATGTTGTTTATCAGGATTAGTTTGTCTAAATACGGTCAACTTTGACCATTGTAACGGGCACAGGTAACACAGTGCGTTCCTAACAAGATGGCACCCCTGTCCAAAACTTTCGACATCAGCTTGACATCAACTTCACATTGTTTGTTATTGCGCTTAATTTGTCAGTTGGCCCGAAACACGACTTGTAATTCATGATAATATTTTGTATCTGCTGGATGTGTAAATAGGTAACACAGCTTGTTTTTGCTGCCCCCAAGTGGCCAAAAATGTCAGTTATTGCAGATTTAAATAAACGTAAATTGTGAATGTCTTATACATTTGTGGTTATTACTTTTCCAGATGATATTTAAAATACATATACAATATATGCAGGTTTTAATTCGTATAAAATAATGTATTGTCTTAGAAAGATTATCGATGTTAGCACTGAAACAACTCATCTCTTTTCCCTCTCCTTACAGATATACACCAGACACGACAATAACTAATTAAAAAGCACAGTAAATGTCTGTCTCTGAATATACTGCTCGTTATACTGCTCATTCTGCCAAGATTCAAGTCACTGATGTCAAAGTCAAAGTAAAGTTGGAGGATTAGTCATCAACTCATCTGTTTCATGGGTCTGTTCTCAGCCCAAGTCACGTGACCAGAGTGGACACCCTGGACATGTGGACTCCAGTCACATGTCCAGTCATACATCATGTTCTTGTTATACTGTATGTAGATGTATAAACACACACACTTTAACATCAGGTGCAGGTGAACGAGGCTGCACCTCTGCTGAGCCTCTGACAGGTGTATCTGGGTCATGTCACGTCCCGCTGTGTGTAATACATTGAAAACACGAGGGATTGTGCTCGTTTGGAGGATAGTCAGCCAATTATTGTCCAGTATCTGGCCACAGTCAGAGCCGCTCAATGAGACATTGTTACCCCTGGAACAATGGAGAGTGAAATCACTTGCCTCAGTGGCTCGTGTTAGGATATGCATTGTCTTACACACACACACACACACACACACAATGCAAAGTGATAGTGTGTGTACTGTAAAATGCTCAGCAAAATTAGACATTTCGACTGTGGAGGTCACGTCTGCCAGGGTTTCCTTGGTCCATATGGCACCTGTCACCCCACAGCATATCTTTTTGCCACTGAACAAATAACATTTGGCAGGTGTTCTTGCAGAAAAATAGACCTGCTGAATTATTTAGTGTCCAGGAAAATATTTAGTAGAGTGGTCATCTCAGCAGAAGGATACTGCTGCCTAAAATAAACAGCAAGGTGGTTTATAGGCCCTGTGGGCGTATATTATGGCAGGAGGTCATGGCAGTTGACGTTTAGTGATTTATTATGGAGACACAGGCGTAGATTTAGGTGGGGACACAGAGGACTCGTCCCCCCTCAGTATTTAGAATAGTGGTTCCCAGCTGGTCCAGCCACAGGGTCCAGATTTCGCCTTAGTCATTAGTTCAGGGTCCACACAGCTCAATACATTCAGCGTCATACTTGTGTTTTGCCATGTCCTCAAGCTAGTTTGCTGTCTCTGTTGAGTAGCTGTCTGTTAGTCACTCAGTCTACAGCAGGAAATGGCGCTTCAAAATAAAAGCTTGGTGCCAGAAATTCACTGTACTTCGAAATAAAGTGTGTTTCTTTTACAAACTTGACACATTCACAAGTCATTTGCGGTCCATTCAGAATGGACTCATGACCCACTTTTGGACCGTGACCCACCAGTTGGGACCCACTGATTTAGAACACATGCATTCGTCACTGCCAATGAAAATATGAAAGGACTTTTATATGATGAACTGCTAAAACTTTGAGTCATAAGGCCAAACCAACATTAAAGAACTAGTGCCGATGAAGACAGACTGTTGTGTTGCCCCATGTTGCCTGTGTCTTGGCCAAAAAGTTGCCCTCGAATACACCAAAGACTACAGGCAACAGCCAACAAGCATGTATATTCTGTGCCTGCGTAAGAGGAAATAACTCTCCATACCAGCAGGTAGCGGTCGGTATTCACCATTTAAAAGGAAAACCAAAGACCAACAGGATGGATTCGAGACATTAGTTAGCCAGTTGGCACATTAACAACACATCCTGATGTTGGAAGAACAAAGGATATTTACTGCACTAGTGGACAATAACACAAACAATTACGAACTGTTTCTGTTAAAGACCTCAGTGGCTACAAGAAATAATCTTACCTTATATAACAAGTTTGTTGTTTCCTCTTGATTTAAGCTGTTTGTTTGCTTTCCTTACTTCCATTTCTCTTCCTGTGCACAGAACTGAACAGAGTAATGTCATTGACCAACAGGCTCTGCTGTCTCTGACACCAATTCAACAAGCTGAATTGGCCCGAAAAATAGCCAGTAAGGGCCAATAAGGGCCAATTGTGCCAAAGGTGTAGAACACTGTCTCAAACCTAGGGCGACATGCTCACTGACAGCCCGACATTGACCAATGGCTAACCACCAATTTAGTGTGTTAGGACCCATATACCAACGGTAACAATGACTCGGGGTAAAGTAGGTGGTGGCTGCATGCAACCTCAAAAGCAATGGTTGCTATCTGCCATAAAAGTAGAGAAGAAGAAACCATTCACTAATCACAAATTAAAGTAGGAAGGGTGGCACAGTGGTTAGCATTGTTGCAAGAGGGTTCCTGGTTCAAACCCTAGGACAGGGAAGCTCCTCTGTGTGGAATTTGCATGTTCTCCTCGTGTCAGTGTGGGTTTTGTCCAGGTACCTACTACCCATAGGTGTGAATGTGAGTGTGAATGGTTGTCTGTCTCTAAGTGTCAGCCCTGTGATAGTCTGGTGACCTGTCCAGGGTGTACCCTGCCTCTCGCACAGTGTCAGCTGGGATAGGCTCCAGCCCCTCGCAACCCCTAACAGGATAAGTGGCTACAGAAAATGAATGAATGAATAAATGAATGAATGAAGTAAATTTTCATCATGAATTGATGCATTAAGGGCACAAACTGATGCATACAACTTCACCAGTATTCAGAAAATGAAGTGTTTGATGCTCAAAATTTCTTGGGGGAGGACCCATAGCTTAATTTATGTCCCTCCAAATATTGAAACAAAACCTTCACCCTTGTTACACTAGATTAGTTATTTTAAAATATTCAGCCATGCTAGCCATCTAGGGATGGCAATGTGGGTCGCTCATTCCACCACTTTGGTCCAGACTGGAATATCTCAGTAAATATAGACCCTCAGGATGCCCAAAATTCACACTTATCCAGTTTGTGACCAAACATCTGCCAGACATTTCCACCAGCCTCAGCTGTACTTTGTTTGGAGCTAATTAGCAAATGCGGTAGCATAAAAAAACAGCATGTTAATACACTAAAGCAAGATGAACATGGTTGACATTATACCTGTTAAACATCAGCTTGTTAGCATTGCAGCTATGAGCATGTTTGCATTTAGCTCCAGCTGTGGCTAAGTACAGCCTCACACAGAGCTGTTAGCTAGCTGCTGTAGACTCTCATTGTTAGGAGTTTAACTAGTTTAGCCGACTGTATTTTAGGTTTTTACTTTTACAGTGCCAATGAAATTAGAATGAGGTACATCACACAAGATGAACTGAAAACCAGTTATTAAAAAACAAACAACAAAAAACAAAATGTAGCTCACCCTGTTGTGTTAGCATTGCTACAAGGATGACGAGATGAACTTGGACTAGTGAGCAGGATCTGATTTATCAGCCTAGATTCACTTACTTTCCACCACAGTTACCGTTATTTTATTAAAATTAGGCAAAGATGGTGACTTTATGAACATGTGTGAGACTGGGGCCTCAACAGTTTGTGTCTTTGTGTCTCAAATGACATTGAAAGACTGCTATAATTTGTCTCCTGGCAGCAGCTATGCTTCAAACTGTTTATCTTGGTTCTTTGGCAAAATTTGTTTTCCATATTTATTCATAGCCTCGAAATGTAGCAGGGAAGTACACACATCACAAGCAGGCACCCTTACAACTGTGACAGTATTTCATCAGGCTAGAGACATAAATCCAGGCTGTCCAATAACAACTAAATTGTGTTGGAGCTTCCTGAAAGCTCTCCATTTAATGTCTTCCTCAGTTAATGGGTGAGTCAGCCGGAAATGGGTAGCACAGTGTGACTGGGCAAAAATCCACATTAACAAACAAACATATGGGGTGAACATAATGAGTATTTAACAACCATGCTTTGATTTTATCCATCTTTATTATCAGTGACTGTAAATTCATTACGTTATTGAAACACCAGGCCTTATATAAGCTACAGTCATAATTACATCCTTACATGATTTCTTTTGATCAAGCAGAGATTCCAAAACGTTTAATTATAGTTTGATCTATGAGGTGTTCCTCCTACAATGAACTAAAACAAAGAAAGCAATAATCTGTTCATCTGTTCCCCGATGAATATGTACCCATGATGACTTTATCTTCTCTTTGTCTGTCTCCAGGTTTTCAGTAAAGACACTGTTAGAGAAATACACAGCCGAGCCCATAGATGATTCATCCGAGGAGTTCATCAATTTCGCAGCCATACTCGAGCACATCCTCAGCCATCGTTTCAAAGGTAATGAACCCACGGGGAATTGTCTGCTATAAGCTGCATGTTCAATGGACTAGAAAACAAGAAACAATAAATGTAGTTTGGCATCAAAGCAAAAGAGGCATACTGAAAATGTTCAAATGTTGTTATTGATAATAGTTTTAAAAGAATGGATTTTTTAAAAATATTTTGTCAATATTAAAAATTAAGAACAAGAAATGAAGACGTTATTTCCCACTAAACATTGAGTAGAATCACTAATTCTCTTTCTCTGCATTAACATTAATTCCAAAACAAAATATCTAAGTATCAAAAAGAAAAAAAAACTCAGATGCACATAACAAATAATCTAGTTTAAATGGCTACAGATGCTGTAGCTGCCCAAGACTCCACCCTCTGTTCACTGAAATAAACACACATTAAACTATATATGCTGACAGTAGAGTTAACATTATTGGTGTAACACTCTCTCTTAGGCTCCGGCAGCTGGTTTGATGGTCAGAGGAGTTACTGGGACTACATACGTTTGGCCTGTGCTAAACTCCCCAACAGCTGCATCAGCAGCATTGAGAGCATGGAGAACATCAGCACCTCACGAGCCAAGGCAAGTCCCATATACACTCATAGTCATAATCATAGTAGAAAACTGAGGGAAAATGCACATTACAAAATAGTGGAAGACAAAAAAAGTGACATTCAATTATATTGTATTTTGATTTTATCCTATATTTTTATAGTTTGTGCTTGTTGTTTTTTTGGCATGTGGACAGGTTTTTGTTTAACTCCTGTTTTTGTTTGGGTATTTTTTTTAAATCACTTGTCCTGATTTGTAAAACCTGTTTTTGTTAGCATAAATGCTAGTCAGGGGACTGTTATGCTGCATTCATGTGCTGCTAGGATGGTTCCATTTCCCATTTTGGGAACTTATCCTCCCGATTTCAAAGTGTTCATTAGCTTTTAAGTCATAATGTGGAAACATCATGGATGCCTTATAGAAAGAGGGTTGTCTTTATTATGTTTTTATCTTCGTAAACTAAAATGTTTGAAGTGTTTCATTACAAAGTGATAATGTCCTAGCTAAAAATTCACTAAAACCACTAAAATGTTGCTCCACTTAACATATCTTGGTTAATTCTAGTAAATAACTTTTCTTAGTAGGTACATGGACATGGTAGGTTACTAACAGTTACAGCCTAATGCTACATTACAAATTACATTTGAGTACTTTGGTCTGCCATGTTTCTGTGCATATGTCAAAGTCAACAAGTCATGAATCGAATTTTTTGCCAACTCAGCGAGTTGTTGTTGCTCCAAAATAGGGAAGCGTTCGTGTAAATTTTCCCTGCTGGAAACTTATATTTCCCATTATTCCAACACCACATGAATGCGCTGTAATCCTGAAGAGGGCAGTTTGCTGAAAGGTTGAGCTTTTGGAATAAATACCAACATCAGAATTATAAGTATGGAGCTTTGTTTTTGTAAAGATTGCAATGAGAAAGTGAAGAATTTTTAATGACTATTAAACTAACTATTTAAGATCATTTCTTAACCCTTGGTGACTGCTTCAGGGGCGAGCTTGGATACGAGTTGCCCTGATGGAGAAGAGGCTGTCTGAATACATCGCTACTGCTCTGAGGGATAGCAGAACGACCAGGTCACAGGACCCACACGCTGAACTGTACAATAGTATCTCACTCTGTCACTAGAACCATGTTCCTACCTGCCTGTATGTGTCTCTGTGCTTTAGGAGGTTCTATTCAGAAGGAGCCATTGTGTTAAGAGAGGAAGCCACGGTCCTAACAGGGATGCTCATAGGTCTCGGAGCCATAGATTTTAGGTGAGGAGACTTGATCTTTAAAGAGTGACAGTTTTACACATGATAATTTTACCTGGGTATGTGAAGTGTTTTGTCTTATTTCTGTGGTTTCTCTTTCATAGTTTCTGTCTGAAAGGGGAGGGTATGGACGGGAAATCTGCTGCTGTGATCGACTACACACCGTACTTGAAATTCACACAAAGGTATGTTCACTGACACTGTAAAAAGCTTTGTCACTCTCCTCATACTTTTGATACTTGAAATGACTAGACATTTTGTTTCTGTTGTAGCTATGATTACCTGAGTGATGATGACGATCGACAGAGTGTTGACAGCAGCACGAGCGACGACAGCATCCCCGACCATCCCTACATTCCTCTGGTCACTGACGAGGAGAGCTGGAGCACAAAGTGTCGCAAGATGGAGCAGAGGTTCAAGATCGTCAATGCTCAAAAGGTGTGCAGCCATCAATACAGAGAATAGTACTGCCTTATATTTCAAATATGGCATGTAAATCTTGATGGGCACACCCTAAACTACAACACCACACAGTAACTTCTAGAACACACTGAGTATCTCAGATGTCTTATTTGAGTATCCGAGGGTGGATATTCCCTTTCACTCACTGTAGATATGCGTTGCTAGGGTTACCTGGAGGAGCTCGTGCGCCTCCGTGAGTCCCAGCTGAAGAACACAGAGACAGAGAACAAGAGGCTAAAGGCCCGACTGGAGGAGCTACAGAGCCACAGCACACAGGAGAAGAAGGAACTGGAGGCCATCGTCCTGGAGCTTCAGGAGCAGCTGTGAGTGATGTAGACTGACGTAGTGTCCAGGTTTCACCCACATATTCATTCATTCATTCACCAACAATGTACTGTATCCTTGTGTTTATTAGGACAAGCTTGATTCCATGTGACTCCAACCACCTGGCCAAAAACCTGTCAATCCCTCTGGTCAACCAGTGGCCGACACTCCAGCCATACAACAGCCAAGATGGCGTCAAGTTGTACCGCAGGTTGGTGTTATAGATGATACATGTTTGTGTCTTCATGGTGATAAATACAAAGAGAAACAGACTTACACACACACACACACACACACACAAACTGTGCTACAGTATATTGTCAACAACCGTTTTTTATATAGAGAACATTTTGTCATATGGACAGGGATGTTGTGTAGTGGTTATTATTTGAAATTTATTTACACATATAATACACACATATAGCATGATAACTAACTAAGTGCATGTGCTTCACATGCATATATATTATGTTGCACTTATCACGTGTATATTGTATATATATTCTTATATACCACCCATTATTGAGAATTGGGACATGTATATGTACATTAAATAAGTATAATTTACAAAATATTTTGACCTGCTTTAATTTTTTTTAACTTCTAAACTTTATTTATTTATTTAACCTTTATTTAACCAGGCAAGTCATTAAGAACAAATTCTTATTTACAATGGCGGCCTGGCTTACTTACCCTGTGCCACAAAACACCCTTGTCCCAGACATGAATTGACAAATTCAGATGATTAAAAAGTGTTTCAAAAGCCTTCAAAATCTTAAACTAACTGTATGCAATAATAACGTCGGGGTAAAAATGTACTGCTAATCACCTTTGTGTCAAAATAAATTTTTTATGAAAATGTTGGCCCTGTTGAGATGTGTCCCAGATTCTTGTCAGCTCCACTGGATTTCTGCAAAAACATCAATTAATAATGCACCAACTTCCTGGTTTCCAAAATGGTGGGAGTGCTGCTTGGGTACTGATAAGCTTTGTACTTTTTGATATTTTCATTAAATAATATTGCTACAGGGTGTGTATTAATCATGTCAACTCCGTAGCCCCTCTGAATCAAAACTAAATAAGAATTATGTTTTAAAAAATTGTATTTTGATCAGCATTAAGAGAACTCTCAGCAGTGTTGAAAAATATAATGGCTGCTCACTACGACTGCTGTGAAATTAATAAAAATATAACTTTTGTAAACTAGGCGTACACCCATGATGTATGCTATGCTATAAGGTATTTTTTCAGTTGACAAGAATAAGTGATACAATTTGTTTGCGTGTTTTAATATAATTTTTGACAGTCAAGATATGAAGCCTAGAGTATGCCTAGACTTTTAACATGTTTAATTCATTTAAAAAACCTATCATGCATCCATGTGTTTGCAGGAGTCTGGCCAATCAGAACTACTACTAACTGCAATCTGGACCAGATTTCATTCCATTTTTAGGCAGCAAACTGCTTATCAGCACGTCTTTAAACTGACGCCATCACAAAGCAGAAACTATTTCAAAGTTATTAATGGATAGCCCCTTGAGATAAGCCATCTCGTATTCTAGAGGGTCAAATTAATTCAGCAGGAAACAAACAAATTGTGAGGTGACTCATTATGAAAACTGAATACTGAAGTGAAACTTAAAGTACTTTTTAAATGAATCTTGTGATTCCTTTTAAAATTTTGAGTACGAATTCCATTTTTAAATATATAATTTGAAGTTAGAAGATATTACTATTTCTATACTACTTTTGAAATTCATCATTTAAATTCAGTTGTAATTAATGTATTAATTATAGTTGTATTTTAACATAGCAGCCACAGATGCAAACAACAATAATTTTCATTATCAATTAAACTGCTGATTAGTTTTTTAATTAATCAATTAAAGATTTTGTCCATAAAATATTAGAAAACAGCAAAAAATGGCCATTATAATTTCCCATAGAGCCCAAGGTGTTGACGTTTAATTGCTTGTTTTATGCCATAAATAGTCCAAAACCCAAAGATATTAAATTGATTATAGTACATGCCAAAAAAACATTTCATCCTGACATTTGGGAACTGAAACAAACAAATGTCTGGCGTACTTGCTTAAAAAAATGACATTTAATTGATCATCAAAGTTGTTGTCCACACACATCTCTGCTGCATCGTTAACTCTGATGTATTGGTAAGTTTTTAATTTGTCTGTTGTCCTGCAGGAGGAGTTTCCCGAGCACAGAGCTGCTGTCAGTGGAAATCAGCCTGGACTCAGATTCCCAGAGGACTGATGGGAAACAGAACGGAGGAGCCTGGTGCACAGGTGACAGTTTGCACAGTCACACACTGTGTTCTCCTAAGATAGTAAGTACGTAAACACACACACACACATGCACACACTTGAATTGACCCTCCCTTTCTACGTCTGTCCCACCCCTCCAGAAAAGGACTACACCCCTTCCATGATGGGACTGTGTGGCTCCTTGGCCTCCCTCCCCAGCTGCAGGTCTCTGGCGAGCCTCAAGTCCAGCGAGTGCCTGGTGAACATCAGCACAGAGAACAGTCCTGCCCTCTCTCCCAGCTAGGGGGCGCCAAAGAAACACTGCCCACCCCTGAACTGACTGAGACAATTCAACACAAACACAAAAAGACTCCTTTCAGTAGGCGAACAGACTCTCTTTCGTGGCCCTTACGTGAGTCCCTTTACCTTTACGCTCTGAGTCCAGCACTGTCTCAACTTACACCTTTTAAGCGTTTATGAAAGAGTAGCCTCCCTGTGCGGGACTGTCCGACAAGGATGCAGGGATGGCTGCTGTACTGCCTGACGGCCTCCTGCAGTTTCACCGTCTTTAATTGTCTCGACATGATTAAGCCTCCTGGAATGCAAACAGCTGGTTCAAGTTTGACCTCTCTTACGTCTTGATGCTTGATTTTGTGCAATTACAGTCACGTCTGTACTGGTTACACTTATCAAAACTCACTGTAGGGTTATCCTGTATGTACTTGTCCATTCGTCTGTGTCTTATCAGTCTGTCAGTGTATCTTATTCTGCCTCTCGCATAATGGTGGCAGTGCAGGGTGGATGAGCTGTTTATAACAGAAACAATGTTTTGCCATATTATATTATAAGAGAGATATTTGCTGTGTTAAAGTGGCCTGAGGGTTTTATGATGAAGATTATTTGGAAATTAACAGAAGCGGCTTTATGATATTATGACAGGCCTTATTCAGTCATACAGTAGGTTAGATACAGATTTTAGGATGTGACACAAAAGACTTGTCAGGCTATGCAGGTTTGCAGAGGCACTACAATGTGGACATTAAGAAACAAACATTATATCTGTTGCATACAAATGCAGAGTGCATTGTGACTATGCAGAATGATTGTTTTCATTGTCTTTTTCTACAAACCTGCCTTGATAGAGTAGTTTGAGCAGAAGAGAAATAGTGAATGTGCAACAGGTGTGTGTGGGTGTGTGTGTGTGTCTGTCATTAGATTTTTTGGCTTCATTTTTTTCTGTTCTTTTTATATTTTGATTAATTTAATGACATACTTACTTGTATCATTTACCATCATGTAAATTGCAATCTCATGCAGTGTTGTTGAGAGTTGGGATACATTGTGTTATTTAAAACTGCAATAAAACTGCCTTTTTTTGAAACAATGTTGGTATGCAATGGACGTGTATTTTTGTTTTGTTTTTTTCCAAGCAGCAAGGCCTGGGTCTGAAAAATGAAGCCAAAATGAAAGCCAGTAAGTTTACATGACATTAGAGAAAATCAATTTATTGTGTAAGTCTGACTAATCCGGACATTAAACAATACACGTGAACATGTTAGTTCAACTAAAATCATTCTAAATCGTATTACGCAAAGACGGACGAACACACCCAAAAAACGCCATTGGTGACAAAAAGTGCAGTTCCTTGAATGGCCACTTGAGGCTGGCTCCAGAAGTGAGTCAATCCCTACATACCTCAGTGTTAAAATGCTCAACTTAAGAGCAGAATTAAACATGTTTACAGCCTGATACAAAAAACGGTTTTGGTCTCTAAAGCTAATTTCCCCATTTATCACAACGGTACAGGGGATGAATTTTAATGTAGGCTAACTCACACATTTAAATGTCATTAAGTGCTAAAATTATGCATGATTGAGGACAGGGACACTTTGAGTAAAGGGCTGTCTGTGGACAGTGGCCTGAGTTTCTCATCTACAGCTCCAACCTCTTGTCTAAATATGGTCACTTCTGACTCCAAATAACCAAAATAGCGACGGCTGAAATGCCGAACTTGGACCTCCAAACAGGAGTCCCCAAACAAATGGGTGATGTCGTAGTAGCTACACCCATTATTTTATAAGTCTATGTTGTTGTTTTTTGCTCTAGGGATGGATTGCCAAGCAATTTGGTGCAGACATTAATGTTACCCAGATGATATAGGCTTTTATCAATATTCTATTGCTTTTGGTGATACCTGACTTCCAATAGCGCAACTTTCAATTTGCTCAATAACTTGATTTAACCTTATGTGCATATACCTGCAAAGCTAATGACATTCATGGTCCCCAGAGAATGAATCCAAATGACTTTGGTGATTGCCTGACTTTTCTGCTGCTAGCAGTTGAATATTTTTACTTTACTAGTGAAATATTACATCTACAAGATGAATTCACGTACAATTTTGTACAAATATCCATGGTTCCTAGACAATATATCCTACTGACTTTAATGATCCCAGAACTTCTTCTATGGCACTACCACAAGGTTGACATTTTCAGTTTGTCCAGGACTTTGGTTTGTGTTCAAATATCAGCATAACTAAAAACTTTTACATCAAACTCAGCTGTGGGCTACTTTGTGTGTAATGTTAATTAGCAAATGTTTGCATGCTAACGCGCTAAACTAAGATGTAAACATTGTGAAGCATACACCTGCAAAACATCTACATGTTAGCATTGTCACTGTGAGCATGCTAGCATGATGACATTAGCATGTAGCTCAAAGCACTGCTGTATATGTACAGCCCTGTAGAGCTGTTAGCATGGATGTGCTCTTAGTCAAGTTCATACACATTTTCATGGCCTAAGCACCGAACAGTGCGAGGCAAATTGTGGTAAATTGGCTTGATAGTGTCCCCTAAGCAATTCCATACATGACACTGACACGCTCTCCTCTAGTGGACTGGTGGCTCTCCTACACACTTGCAGTGTACTGGGATGCCCATAGTTAAAGCCCCCAGCTTGAAATTTGACATACAGGAATGAAATTTGGTAGTGCATACCCAAAACCCAACATGAAGTCAGCCATTTGAGTTTACTGTTCATTTTTTGCCATTTACAGGCACTGTACTTCAATGAACTCCTCCTACAGATTTAATCAGATGGACCTCAAATTTGGTCTGTACAATCTTAAAACCTTGTGAGTTTTCATGGAATGATGGCATGGCAACGATTTTGCATGTTTAGCATGTGAAAAGTTGTTGTAACTAAATAAAGTACATAAATACATAAAACACATACATTGTCTAATATGACCCAAATTTCTTACATGTGATAAGGGTCCAGGCCTGAGGACATCTACATGCCAAAGTTGACCAGGCGCTGAGAAAAGCACCTCAGCCTTGCTGCCCATTTTTCCCAGTGCCCACTTGCGGAATCCCCTGTGGCCCAAGATGCATTTTCCCCATAGGCCACAATTGCAAAAGAGATGCTGTTAAACTGTTGACAGGACACCTTGAGGTCAGAACAAGGTCAGTTTTACTCTTTCTAATATAAATGTTTGATCCATGGAAGGTTTATATTTGTTAAAATTTCCTGAAGCCAAGGAGAACGATTTAAAATTCCGTAATGTCACAATGTAAAGTCTATGAGCTGAGCAGGAACTCACGGATGTGGCCATTGGGAGAAACTCTACTGCGCATATTCAGTGGGTAAACCCGGAAGCTAAAAAATTTTTTTGGCATATGCGCCAGGCAAGCACCTCCATTGTACTGAATAGCCGTCATCTTGGCATTCGGTATCTACTAGGACGTTACAGGTTCTGCACTTTTATGACCTTATCCTAGCAGGTTAATCATATCCATCTCAGATTTGGTCAGGGAATTCTGAAGGCCGTTGTGATGCTATATTGTTGAGATCTTGAGTTATTGTGGAACAGCGTTGCCATGGCGAGCCCGACTATTTGCATGTGCCACCAAGAAACAGGAAGTTGCTGTAACTGGACTGGACTTTGTTCAATCTACCCCAAATTTCTCATGCTTGATAGGAGTTCAGGCTGAAAACATCTATGTGACATTAATGACTCATAGTGATAGTATCACCCACTAACAACAGGAAGTCAGTTTTACATAACATCTTTAAATTCACATGAAATCTACATTGTGTGGTCTACACCTGCTTAGTGTATGTTTCCTAGTGCCACACTGAACACAGGAAGTGGTGCAAAATTTGAAACATGTCATTCCCAGTGCCCACACTCCATGCAGGAAATAACATCTAACTTATGGGTGCAGTTTATAGCGGTCATGGAAATGCCCAGCCATGTCACCTAGCACCCCCGACCAGTGGTAAGGTGTGAGGGCCCATTCAACGCTGCTGCAGCTTTTATGTTGTTAATGAATTGCCTCCACATTTACAGTCAACAGTATTGTTTTCCTGCAAGTCTTATTGGTTGCCATTTGGCCACTTAGAAATTTTACTAACCTGATCAGACACAAAAACAACAGACTTGGAAACAAAATAAAATTTGCTTTAAATGAAGAGCTGACATCCCAGCAATTTCATTTACTGTAGGCCCAAGAAACCAAACACACGCTCTCTCCCCCGCTGCTGAGGTCACTTTTTGTCTCCACGTCTTCCCTTTTAGCTTAAGGGAAGCATGACATCGTCCCTCCTCACATGGGTTTGAAACAGCTTCCGTGAGGTCATAGGTTAGGATCATTCATTCATTAAGACAGACAAATACACAGAGTTAAACAAACAGCAGCTGAAGGTCCTTTGGTAAACGCTGGAAATGCATTATGTAGGAGACACATTCCTGATCGACATACTGTCCAATTAACTGCCTGGCTGTAAAATGAATGGACGCCGCAGGGGTTGTGAAAAGTTGGGTTTAGTTATCTGGCTTTGTCTTTGGCTGCATTGTCAAAGTGACATCAATTGTTGGGTGCAGCCGCACTAGATAGATGAGCAGGCTGCTGGACACATGGTTGAACACTTCACCCCTCTGTGATAAAGTACATTCATTCCCACTGTGGCGTGCCAAACACACGAGTGTGCTATCTAAGCGTGGGTTGAGGTCTCACGTAATAAGTGCACATTTAGGGCCAGTGTGGTATGGCTGTGGGGACACTGGTCTAGGGCCTGCCCCTACAAATACATGCCATGTTATCTCTGCCTCCTTCTCTTGTCCCACCATTGGCACTCCCTTTTAGACAGAGTCTGGACATTTATCTCCCAAAATGCACACTGTCTCACACATGCACACACACCACCCAAAACCACTTCACACAGTCCACCCAGATGGTGAACACACGCCCAGCTGGGGTGATTTAATAGGCCTCAGGATAGTATGATGAAATAATTAGCCAACAACGAATGGAGGTGATGATTGTATGAAAATGTTATATTTAGGGAACTCCTGAAACTTGCTTTGGTGGTGTAATCATCCCATCAAGTCTGCATGATTTTCTGTCAAGTCACATTAGTGGTAAGATGTTACACAGTGCAGACCTCTGAAATTAATCTGCACTTATATTGCAACAGCATGCAATAATAATGTAGCACTAACAAAAAAAATGAATGGGAGCTTGTTGCTCACTGGGATGATTTCATAGATCAAGAATGGTGGAAGTTGTACTCAGATCTTTTACTTAGGAAAAATAAGCAATACCGCAGTATAAAAATAGTCTGTTGCAAGTAAACTTGTATTCAATTGTACCTCAGTTAAAGTACATAGTGTTGGTATAAATATATACCTAAAGGACCAAAAGTGAAAGTCCTCACTGTGCAGAGTTTTCAATTTCAGAAAAATATAATATCAATAGATTATAATGATGCATTAATCGCTTCTAGCATCATTAACTGTTATCATTAATTTGCACTTGGTAAAGGGGTAATCTCAGGTAGATTAAACCATAATAATACATCAGAATTTATTAGTTGATATATATTTGTATTAATAATTTGAATCTGCAAAGTAACTGTCAAATAAATATAGGGGAGAGCGGGGTAAGTTGCAACATAGACTTTTTAAGAGGTTACACAGGGTTAATCTTTTCATGCTTCCACCCAGTTGACCACAATACCACCAAACAGTGACCTGCAAAATTCCACAGAGACTGGTTGTGTTTCAGCGGAGTTCAGTAACAAAGAGTGTTTTCAGCCGATTTAAGTAAATTTCTTTGTCATACTTGTTTTTCGATTACTGAGCTGTTTGTGTAAGACACTGAATCCAACCATATATCATCTTAATAACTGTCTTGTTGCCTAAAACATGGCACCATTTTGAACTATGTGACCAGCTTCCAGCAAGTGTTAGTGAGGCACTTGATGGAGAAGTCAGTTTAACACATTTAATTAAATACAATTTTATCTATCTATATACAATAGGTTGACACTGTATAGATCTATGACAGATACCCAAACAT